TGACTATGCGTTTCATTTAAAAAACGCGAACACACCACCACAGCACTTACCAGCAACAGCTCACTACGTGGCTCCCCCGTTCGCTCCTCGCTGAGCGTGAACTCGGGACTGTGTACATTGGAGCAATAAAATAACCTGCTCCAGGCTCCGTCCAGAGGTGGTTTATGCAGAGCTGCCACCTCCACTCACCTGCTGTTGGTTACACAGCAGGAGGTGACATAGCTTTGACATGTTGGCCTGATGAATTGATACAGCGTTTTTCAAATAAGAACACCACTAAATATGTTTTAGTTCTCCCTGCACATTTTCAATGAAATTATAGATTTCCAAGGTTTACTTTTTTCAGCATCACTTCATCTCCAAAGACCCTCTTCACTTGAGTCAACTACATATTCTATATACTTTGTAGTCTCTCATTTATGCAAATGGGTATTTGTCTGATTATCCAGAATATAACTTTTACTTAAGTGGAATGCTGAACTCCAGGCATGGTGTTCTTAGTCTTCATCCCCCATTTTTAAACTTAAGGGAAATATTGTCACTGCTCTGCCTTCGAGGGCAAGATGGGCAGTGTGTTGCCATGGTGCAAAAACTGCTATCTTTGGTCACATGGGTACCATGTTACACTCATACCATGTCCACTCAGCTTACAGAGGTCTTACTACATCATCGGAATGTCATTGTTTGTCATGGTGCTCTGGTGTTCTCCTTTTTCTTTCTAAAGGTGAGAATGTGAAGGAAAGTGGAGGGAGACGGAGCCTGTGGAGAGAGGGAGGCTTATTGTCTCCTTGGTGTGATGTGGCTGAGGAGGTGGAAGAGCAGATGATTGTACACGGTGCTTTCTGAGGGCAGTGGGAGTGGAAATGAGCCACAGCAGTACTAGGAATTCCTTCCAGAAGTCCTCGAGTGAGAACAGACTTTGAATTTTTCTTCATTTAATAGTCTAGTCACACACTATCTACTAATGAAAGTTAATGCTCACATCTAATAATAAAATAGATTTATATGTAAAACGTTTGATCTCCCTTAGTGAAGGAAGTGTATGTCCATCAAACTCTTTGCTTAGATCAATTCACATGTGAGCAGGCAGTAAGAAGAGAGAGTCAGAGGTGGGATAGAAAAATGGTAGCAGAGGTCAAAAGTGATATAAAGGACTCTAAGCTAATTCTTTTCTTCCTCTTATATTGCCATATGACACACTTAGATATAGCCTTCACTGCCTGAATTCAAATGTGTGCGTGTGGGGGGGATTTGTGGAACTTTCATTTTAGTTTGGTTTGTGCCTTGCGCTGGTATAGATTTTTAAAATTAGTCTTCTACATAAATCATTAATAAATTAAAATGTTATGCTAATTGGAGTGTATGGGGGAACCAAGCCATATTGGAACCAATTGCTGCTGTCCTTGTTGTGATATTGCACTTTTTAAAAACGGAGCAAACACTAGATGGATGTCTGGAAGGAAGTAGCAGTACATCCCACCGCCTTCCCCCAGCCCCTGTTAGGTTTGGGAGAACACCAGTGTTTCGTGGGTAGAACGGCTCTAACTGCTCTGTCTGTGAGTTCCCTTTCCTGCTCGGGTGGGAGAAACGTTTCAGCATCTGGAAAGGCTGCCTGAGGAGCTGCAGAGCATGGTGCCCAAGGACACGTACTTGAGAGTCAGGCTCCCTGAATGCAAATCATGGCTTATGGCTCTGGGCTCACTCCCTGACTGTCAGGAGGATCACACTTATTAAAACACTCAGACTTGGATCTGGCACATAGAAAATACTCCATAAATGGTTGCTGGTGGTAACAGCTTACAAACAGAGTGAACCAGATTGGTTACAGTTTTCTATGACTTTACTAAAGTAACAGGGTTCTGCTTGGTATAATGATTTTTAAATTCAGGATTTGGGTTTAAGGATTCAGAGTAGTAATATTTTTCTGATTGATAGTCTCACTTATAGGTGAGGTAATTTTAGATTTTCCAAGAGCTCATTTTAAGTTCACTCAGATTCACTGAAATCATAAAAGCTAAAAAGAAAGGAGTAGACAGGAAGTAGAAATGCCTAGATCCTCAGTAAAAGTTGGGAAATAGAGCATACCGAATTTAAAAAGTGATGGAAGGGATAGTGGTGATCAAAGAGCAACCTTGCTCAAACCATTTTCTGCTGTCTGGGGCCTAGCCTCCAATAGAGGGAGACCATCAAATGTGAAAAGTGAAGTGGGGCAAGAGTCAAGAAAACTATAAGCATCAACTGAAGGGTTTAAGTGCTGGGCTTGACCTCCAGAGCACTCAAACCTGTGGGAAGAGCTTATTCGTACTCTCCCTACCTCAATATTGGTGGCTCCATTAAAAAATGAGGTTTAATTTTTTTAAAGAAAAGGGAACTAACATAAGGTCCTTGCTAGACTGAGAGAGAAAGAAGGAATGTAAGAAAAAAGCTAATAAAAAACACAGATCAAATGGGAAGTTACCCAAGAAACAGAGGGAAGGTTCAGACAAAGTATAGTTCTTTATAACAAACAGTCCTTCACAATGTCAGAGCATTTACAAAACACGCTCACATATCTCTCTGTCAAGGAAAAAACTGGGGGGAGATAGAGAAGAAAAAAGAAGGGATATGTGGTTAAAGATGATATAAGTCAACAGACAGAGATGAAAAGTGATCTCTCAGATCTTAGGGAAAATAGTAGACAAAAATCAAAAGATTACCGAGATTGAAACCATATTAGAAGAAACAAAAATAGAAAAATTATAACTGAAAACATTCAAGGAAATACAGTGATCAGACTAAAGGAAATCCCACAAAATGAAAGGAAAATATAAAATAGATATAAAATTATAAGAAAGTAAAACAATAGATAAAAGTATAATTATGGAAGATTACCAAAGAAGAGTCTATACATGAAAAATTTGTATTCTTGGAGAAAAAAGCAAATAGAAAAAGATTCATATGTAATATGAACACAGAACAATAATAGAATACAAATAATTCTAACAGAAGAAACTTTTCTTCAGAGAATTGAATTTAAAGATAGAAAGGACACACACAATGTCTTGGGAAAATTGATACAGAATAATTAATACCAAAACATATCGCAGTGAAGCTACTGAATCAAGGAAAAAGAAAATCACATGGGTCCTGGCCGGTGTTGCTCAGTAGGTTTGGTGGCGTCCCATGCATGGAAAGATTGCTGATTCAAACCCAGTCAGGCACATGCCTGGGTTGCAGGCTCGATCCCCAGTGGGTGGTGTGCAGATGCAGGAGGCAGGCAATTGGTGCTTTGCTCTTTCTTTGATGTTTCTCTCTCTCCCTCTCCCTTTCTGTCTCTCTAAAAATCAATAAAAATAAAGAAAAAAAGAAAATCACATGGGCATCCAAGTAGAGAAAGTCATATTCAATATGGAAAAAATTTTAACCTGGTTTCAGACTTCACCATAGCTATCTGTAATACCAGAAGACATTGAAAAAATGTCTCTAAGTATAGAGAGAAGGTGGGATTGAAGAATTTTTATACCCAGCCAAGTAGTCTTTCAAATGTACAGGCAAGTGGGCAGACTTTCTTAACAACCAAGGTTACAAGCAGACACGTATCCTTTTTAAAGGAGTAGTAGCTCAAAATTTCAGAGCCAATGTTGAGTGATAGAAAAATATAGTTAATAGTAGCCTGTGAACCCTCAATAAATGTTGGCCTTAAGATCTGATTTATAAAGCATGTGTTTTCTTGTGCTTTTGCCTTTCATTTGAGTCAGCTGACAGATGGAACTATCAGACTTAAGTCCAAGAAGAAAATGTGGGAAAAATCAAATATTGCATCAGTGGGAAATATCATGTTTCATTATTTGCTTTTCTTTTAGGTATAAATCACAAGATTAAAACATAAAAAAAACACTTTGCCAAAAAGTGAAAAATTATATTCTAGCATGTTCACCATGGGCTTTTAGTAGGGAATGAAATGATTAGAACACATTTCTTTCTTAATTCAGTTCAGTAAAAAAAAAAAAAAAGCTGGGAATTAAAGACTAGTAATTTTAAATCATCCTCAGTAAATCCATGGACTTGTCTAACTGAATTTAGTTATGCATATTTTCATAGTAATTCCTTCATTTCTAGATATGTCCACTGAATTATCATTTACAAGATATACTGCAAGTCAGCTTTAATATTCAGTTAAGTCATACACAGCACCATGCAACGGATTTTTAAATTCTATCGCATCTCAGATTAGGAGGAAGAAAAAGAAAGAATGATAGCTAGCTAGATAAAGACACCAAGACATACACACTCACATTCATGCTCATACTCATGGACCTCTTCATCCTGCCCCGGCATGTCTCTTCCGCCTGCCCCACTTGTCTCTATCTTTAGCTCTGAGCGAGATGAGTGGGATGAGCCCTCAACCTCTCCCCTACCAGCCTGTGGCCATCAGTTGTTGAGCACAGAGCTGACTGTGTCTGGAGGGAGAGGGAAACCCATGAACTAGAGCCGTTCACAGTGACGAGGGCACTCTGGTCTCCCCACGGTGCGGAGACTTGGAGACAGTGGTATAGATTATCCTTCATTCATATCTTCATAACCATATGGATTCTGTCGAGCGCCCAGGTGCCTAGCCCTATTGGGGACATGTCTTAAAGCAGTGACGGGCTGCGAATTGTCCTCCAATCACAGTGTGTTGTGATCATGGCCCACATCCTGGTCAAGAAAAGGTATGGGGTTAGTCCAGTGTGTGCATCGTGATGGAGAAGAGAGAGCAGGCATTGTACTTCTCCAACATGAAACACTGTGGCACCAAGCGTTTTAAAGAAACAAACTGCTGATACAGGTACTGTCCCTCCCAGACTCACAAGGACAAGCTGGGTACCTTTTGAGTTTGTACTGTGCTTTCTCTTATTTTATTATCTGGTTTTTGACCACGTGTAACAGTGATGAATAGGTATTATTCTGGGATTTGTTAAAGTCAAAACTATTGTTTCTGTGTATATAAATAAATAAGCTGTCTTTTTTTCCCACTTTAGATAACGTACATACGACAAGAATACGAAACAAAATTCAAAGGGTTGATGCCAGCTTCTCTAAGACAAGAACTTGAAGATACCATTTCCTCCCTGAAGTCACAGGTAATTACCAGAATCCCGCATTCCTGAGGGTGTAGGGGATTTATTCGGAAAATACACTTGCACATAACGTCCATCCTGAAGTGAAGCCAGAAACCCATGTGATGCCACGGCATGGCCTGCACCCAGAAGGAATTGTTGTTTTTCATTTTCTTACTAGTTTAAGAACCCATTGTCTCAATAAGATTTTCTTAAAAGCTCCCTTGAAATTGAAAACTTATGGTCACTTTAATCATTCAGTCTACATTCCTCTACAGCCTCACCCTTTTAGTCTTGGTGCCAGGCCCAGAGTGCCATCACTTAGCACATTGCTGACTCCTGGGTGTGTACATGTGGTGAGAAGCAACTCACAGTGAAGTCAGAGTATTTTTATTCTGTATTTTAATGCATTTTAAATTCAAGGCAGAATAACAAGGTATTCAAACAATTAGGTTAAATATTTCTTGCTGAAGTGTGTAGTTCTTGGTAATTTATAAAATAAAATATGAGCGATAATCTACTGAGCTTTTTAAAACTCTAACATGAGAAAGAGTTCACATATTCCCATTTCTAACACACTTAGAAATTTAAAACGTATATTTTTTCATACATCAACTATGTTCCCTCTGTATTTCTAAGAATCTTTATATGGCTGAGATTGATTAAAACACTAGCCAGGACCCAGAATAGCCAAAAACCATTTTAGAAAATAAGAATAAATTTGGAGGATTCACATTTCCCAATTTCAAAACTTACTACAAAGCTATAATAATCAAGACAGTGTGACATTGGTTAAAGAAAAGACATACAGAGCAATGGAGTAGAATTGAGAGTCCAGAAAAAATGCCTACATTTGTGGTCAGTTTATTTTCAACAAGGGTTCCAAGGCAGTTCAATGAGGAAAAGATAGAAAGAATGTTGCTGTTACAATTGGATAACCCACATGAAAAAGAATGAAGCTGAGGCCCTTACAAGTTATACACAACTTAACTCAAAATGGATCCAAGACCTAAACGTACTGGTAAGAGCCCAAACTATAAAACTCTTAGAAGGAAACGCTAAGAAAAAAATCTCAGATAAAAAGGGAAATCTTTGTACCTTAAATAAGGTATTTTTACAGTGATGAGACCAAAATTACAGCAGCAGGAGAAATAAATAGATGAATTGCACTTCATCGACATGTAAAACTTTGTACTTCAAAAGACACCATTCAGAAACTGACAAGTCAAACCATGGGTTTGCAAGTTACTTATCTAAGAAACTGTTTTTTAAAAGACCCCATTTTTGTGGGGAAAGGTCTCCAGGAGGGAATGATGTCTTTGCTCCCTGTGCATGGATGGTGCCTGGCACATAGCAGGTGCTGAGTAAGTGTATTTCCAACAGAAATGGATGACGCAGTTTGATGGCACTCACACAGCTATTTATCATGTGCAAGACAAAATGTGGAGCAAATTTTAGCCGTTGCTTTTCTGTTTCCCTCAGTAAAAAGCCTCTTCTCTGAAAACGAAATGTCCATTCTATCTATGCTGCTGGCCGACTGCTGCTTCTGTGGCTGAGAGGTTTGGCTGTGCTCGCCCCTGCGTAAAAATAGGTCCTACAGGCGAGTGCTGCCATAGGAAGGGTTACCTCCTCTTTTTTAGGTGAAAAGCTCCCTGGAGTGTGGTTTTACCCATTCACCTTGTCAGCGAGCTTCCATAGGGTCAGCTAGGTAAGGCCTGGCACCTTCAGAAGAGTGTTTTTTAGAAAAAAGAAAGGAAGGAAGAAATCTGATACCCACCTGCAGGGCTTCTGTTGTCATTCATATCATTTCAAACTGGATGTTGACCCAAAGAGAGAGAGAGAGAGAGCCGTTGCCTGGGCCTCAGCATTGGCAGCTGTGTGGGAGGCACGCCCGCAGAGCGAGCACATTTAGTGGGAAGCACAGGTGCCTGTGTGTTTTGAAAATTGTTGGAATTCCGATTGCAAAGCACCATGGGGGAAGGGAAGCTGAAACGTGCGATCCTCGCATCTGTCAACATTATCATTGTCCTGTGGGTCATGTGAGCAATTGGATAAAATTAAGATGACGGTGATAATACAACTAAGGGAAACCGAGGGAGCGCTTGGCTGTGGACCCACTTAGAGAGACTGTGCTTTCCTTGCGCGTGAGCACTTTCTCTGTTCTGCCAGCTGTACTCTCCTGCTTAACTATGTCTCCGAAGCAAGCGTTGCCATGGTTTCAGTTCAGACCAAAGAGATGAGAGTAAACAACTCCAAAATGATCAAATACCACTGGCTCTTGATTCCATCAGGCCATGGTACACGTTATCCCCAAACAGTTTCTGCTTGGTCCTAGAAGGTGCTCTTGAATTTATAATAGAAATTTATGCTTCAAAATAATCAAACCACGTTGTAAAGGTCTGACTTCAGAGACCATGCTGAGCCACCTAGTCTCCTCCATCCCCCACCACCCCAGCTGTGAGCTCTGCTCTAGGGAGGCAGTTCTGATAGTCGCTCCACCTCATCCTCATGACCTTGGGAGGCGTCTGTCATTAACCCCATTTTGTAATGAGGCATCAAGACTTTAAGTAACTTTCCTAGAGCCATAAAGGCCAAAGCAGGAATTGAACCCGAGTTGGCATAACTCCAGACAAAACCCAGGCTCTTTCCACTACAAAATGCTGTCTGCAACCTCAGGGAATCCCCAGGATGGGTTGAGGTTTCCAGAAGGCCGTAATTTTCTCTCCACTCACTCATTCACTCATTCACCAGCTGGGGAATACCAGCTCCACACCCAGCCCTGTGAAAGGAACTGGGGGCCGGAGATGAGGAAATGTCATCCTCACCCTCCAAGAGCTCAAGGTCTCAGGGAGAGATATGCAAACAACCACAAGGCCATGCAAGCAGTGCTGATGAGTAGAGCACAGGAATGCCAAGGAGGGGCCCGAGGGTGCCCAGGCTGGGGCGGGAGCAGTTGGGAGGCGTCGAAGAGTTCAGTGACGTTTGAACCACACAGTGGAGGATGGATAGGAGATAGTTAGCCAACTATTCCAAAAAGAGGAACAGCCTGTGCCAGCAGGTACACAAGTGAGGGACGGTGGGAAGGTGTGAGGGGAGATGGAGCTGCAGAGAGAGGCCAGATCACAATGGCTCTGTGTAGGCATTTGAACTTGATTCTGTCGCCTCTGGTGGGCTTTCAGTGGGGACGCGATGTGAACCGATGTAGAAACACAATGTAACACCTAGCAAATCCTCTGGGAACCACACTGTTTGCACATTATTGCTATTTAAGCCACATCAGCTCCTCTCATACAAGGCCTCTTCTCCAGGTTAACTTTCTGCAAAAGAGAGCGTCCATCCTTCAGGAAGAGCTGACCACCTACCAAGGCAGAAGGTATGGCTGTGATCAGAATGCCTGCTGATCGCTGATTGGTTAGCGTGGTTTGCACCTGTGAGTCTCCTGTCTTGACAGTCAGGTCTTCATTAACATTCTTAAACATATCAATTTTGAAAAACAAAGGCTTATTTTTAGTAAATAGCCTGTCTTTGAGAAGTCACCACCTCTTGTAATCACAGTGCTTAGTCAGGACGATCAGAAGGAGATGAGAGAATCCGCAGGTGTCTGCAAGCCCGGGCCTCACTTGGGTCGTCAGGACAAGAAGTTGTCTTGAAGCCGGGTTGCAGGATTAAGGAGGCAGTGTGATCCTTTTAGGATAGCGAGATGACGCAATTCTTAGTGTGGTAGGCCACATCTCCCAAGTCCTGTGTCCCGTGGGCGATTGGAACTCTTACAGATGTTCTCAGACCAGAACAGATAAAACAGGAGGGGCCGCTAACTGCGGGAGAGTGGGGGAGGGGGGAGATCAGTGATTCAGTGATGTCACCACACTCCCAGGACTCAGTGCCACAGGTGTACTTCTCAGGGAGTCACGGGGTTCCCAGAGACATCGTGACACAGACCACGTTTACCTGCTGATGTAGTCACACTGCCCCCCTCTCTGCAGGGAAGGACTGAGCCATTCTATAGCATTACATTAAAGTAAGACCCTGTGCATCATGAACTTCTCAAAAGGTGCTGTTGCTTGTTGTAGAGAGGAGTTGACGCCTCATGGGCATAGATGATGACACTGTGATATCAGATATTATTTTTAGCCTCCTTCCATCCAGCTCCTCTTTTTTTATAAATATGTTTTTATTGATTTTGGGGAGAGAAGACGGGGGAGGGAGGGAGGGAAGAAGAGAGATAAAGAGAGAAACATCGTTTGGTGTCCCCCACACACGCCCCAACCAGGGATCAACCTGGGTATGTGCCCTGACTGAGAATCACACCACCACCTTTTGTTTTTTGTTGTTGTTTTTTAACTATATTTTTATTTATTTCAGAGGAAGGGAGAGGAAGAGAGATAGAAACATCAATGATGAGAGAAAATCATTGATTGGTTGCCTCCTACACGCCCCCTACTGGGGATCGAGCCCACAACCCAGGCATGTGCCCTGGTTCACAGGTCAATGCCCAACCACTGAGCCACACCAGCCAGAGCCGATCCAGGGCCCGTCCAGCTCCTCTTGAATGAAAACGTATTTTATAACTGCCATGCCCATTAGACCTAGAGCAGGTCCTGACTGAGATTTCGGATTTCCAGGTAACTGTGAGGACTCACCCGAGTAACAGACAGATGGCTTCCGTGTCCAGGCTGTTCTGTGGACTGCTAGCAGGTTTGAAGATTTGGATAGTGTGGCGTAAACTGTGAGATCAGTGGCTTTTTTTAATACTTAAGTGTAATTAAGATCATAAAAACGTGCATCACTCATATACTACTAGGGTGGTTTAATTTGTGTCTGCCTAAGTTATTTTTTTAACACTCCTTTATCTTTTATCTTCATACTGTGTGTGTTTGAGTGTGTTCTGAGAATTGCTTATATTGGGAAAAGAAATGATTTCCTATAATTTGTCTGGTTAATGTTATCACATAGAATTTTACCTGTTACATATGATCAAAATCACGTTTTGTAGTATCATATCAAAATTTTTAACATGTTTACATGTTCGTATTCATAGTTTATTAAAGCATTGTTTTGTACTTGTCAATTTTATTTCTACATTTTGTTGCATCTCGTTTGCTAAAACAAGTATGACATCTGCATGGTATTTTTCCCTAGAAAGTACTGACAATCTCAAATTATACTCTGGGGGGGATGGGGGGGGGGAGACCTTATGTTGTGGCAAGGATCACATCCATAAGCAGTGTGATTATTTAGGTTAAAACCCCCTGGGTTGCCTGTCCAAATATTTGTCATGTTGGTCTCTAAGCTGATCCAGGGGCAGAAGAGTGTAAGAATTTTAGGATCAGCTATGGTTTTATTGTGACTTCCTTGATCTCTCTTTCATGGTGGTGGTTTTCATTATGATATTAGTGGGAGCACGTGGGCAAGGACAGCCAACACACTGGCAAGTGTTGGCACCATGACCTGCGATGGGTCTGATGGATCCCATTTTCACGGTGAGGTAATGTGGTCTTGCTCCCAGGCGTGGATGTTTCTGTCACTGCCCGAGGCCAGTGAGCTGTTCAGTGCGATTGGTTAGCCCTGATTTGCAGAGGAAATTGTGAACTGTAGTGGACGGATGCTCACTATGCTTTGGACTGCATTGTGGTGTGCGCAGGGCCCTCTGAGGCACTAAACGTCTGGACGGTGGGCGGGGCTGTCATCGTCGGGGCTGCCATAAAGGACAAGGCCAGACTTTTATTTACACTTCTTCAAAATGCTTTTCTCTTTCCCACGCCCAGTTCTATTGTTTGCTGCCCAAGGATTAATTACCCTCTTTTGCACTGTAACTGAGACATGGAGACGATAAGGAAGCCACTTCCAAAGCCAGGGCCATGGGCCTAAACGCTGCCTCGCGGCCAACAGTGGGAGGCCTGGCATTCTGGCACGAAGTCATGGGTGCCCGTCGGCTCTCTGCCTGGTCATGTTCACCCTGATTCCGCCTCCAGAAATGTGTTTCCACCCTTCAAAAGATGAGATTTTTCTTGCATATACAATAAATCGTAGTCCAGCTTAAAAATTATCCAGGTGACAGCAAGATGATAGCAGATACTGTTAAAACCGCCCGTCCAGTGAGGACCATGATCTCAGACTAGGATTTAGTACTCGCAGGGAAAGATTACGGCCACGTGATTAATTTAACTGCTTCTCTACAGATTGTGAAAAGCGGGTTGAAGCTCACCAGATTTCACTAGTACGGTTGTTAGCAGCGTGACGTGAAAACCTTTGTGAATTGCATTGTGTGCTGGACTTGGAACTTCCACTCCAGAATATTTGTTTTCCATGAGTAAATATCAGTAGGTGTTTTGGAAGGTTGCCTGCTATTCTTTCTTTTCCTTATTTCAAGGGTTATGAAATTACAAACACTGGTGAACCTTTGACATTCCCCAGATCCTGTTTCCTCGCCGAAGCGTGTCTTATACATCTGGGAGTAGACGGCTGAAACTTTAGGTCAGCTTGATTGTATGTGATAGGAATATGGGGCTGACACTAATGTTTCTGTGAAGGTCCTCTGACAAAGAAGAGAAAGGAAAATGCCGCTTGGCATGTTTAAAATTCCTTACAGAATTGAGCACTGAATACATAAATGGCTACTGAAAGAGAAGGCAAGTGCTTAGGAATTAAATTATAAACACCGTGCCTTATTATACAACCATCTAAGATTTCATCCTTTCTTTCATCTGCTGGGAGATCAGTTGTTCATCACAAGGACCTAATTTAGTTCCAATTGGCTGCTGCACCTGGGTCGTCCACCTGTGCTTTTTCCATCTCAACACTCGATTGTCAACAGGTAGTGGTTGGTACGGCCTTGGCAGCAAGCTGAGCAGAAGGAGAGCTGTGGGGTCACAGTGGTCTCGGTGTATGTTCCTGTCCAGCTGCGGGATGAGGCATGGGAAGGGTTACCATGACGTTAGCTGTCAATCACCTACGTGTCTGTTGGAGTCTGCCATTCCTGCGTCACCAAGCAGGGAGCCCCTGCAGGGCTCTGACCTCCCCACACAACAGTCAGCTCTTCAGGGGGCAGCCCTCCAGGGCACAGTAGGGGAAAGAAGAACTGGGGGTGGGGAGAGGATGGATGGGCTTGCTTCGGAGTTTGTACAAAAGAATTGAGTTGTGACGCAAAGTCAACAGCTCAGATTCAAACATGATCTTGTAAAGTCACGTATTAATAGTGATTTTTTCAGAAAAGGCATATGCTTATAGTGGTGGGCAGCCTCATTAAGGGAACCTGCAGAGAAAGTGCAAAAGAAGAGCTGAGTTTGAATGAACAATTAACAGCCCTCTTATTGAAGTGCATCGCCATCCTCGAAGGTCTTTCTCCGAGTAGAAAGGAAAGGTAAAACATCAAAACTGGGGGGAGAAAAGTTTCAGAACACAAGGTCATTTTAACTCATGGTTTCCTTTCAAGAACTGTCTCTTCTCAGCTTTCATATTCTGTTCAGAAAGGTCGTCTCTTTTAAGCCTTGTCATTACAGACAGTTTGTTCTTTAAAGTGGATTATCAAAGGGTGTAGAAATTGCAAGTTACTGAAACTAAAATGCGTGATCAATTTTAAGTCTGCTAACTAAAGCTTCCTTAAAACAGGGTGTCTTATGTCCTGGCAGCCCCTTTGATAAAACCAGAGAGAGGCACATGGTTGGTCAGTTCAAAGTGGGCAAAGAAGATAATTAGATAAAACTTCTTTTCAACTATTTAAGTGGCTCTTGGATGTGGAGACTTGATTAAGAAGCTGTGGCGTAGGCTGGAATGGTTTTTGAAAAGTAAAAAATTTTGATCCCAGATTTTGACCTGTATTAACATTCTTCACTATATTGTTTTAAGAACAGAATCAAACTTCTGCTCATACTATGTACCTCTCACGTGGAGGAAGAGAAACGGCACTAGTCACATCAGACTGGAGGGGTTTTAAAATCTGGGTCCCTCATCGATATCTAGATCAGTTGAAAATTCCATCTTCAGACATTTCCGTTTTAAGCTAGGATTTTTATCAGGCGAAGGGTTTAACACCGAAGGCCCAAGATGTTGCTGTAGACCAAGCATGTCAAACTTGCGGCCCACCAGCCACGAGTTTGACATGCTTGCATAGATGCTGCTGCTTTTAGAACTGAGCTTAGCCTGAACATCAGGCTAATAAATGCGCTTCTAACCTCTCCGGGAATCTCCCGTTCAAGAGAGGTCTCAGGGAGCACAGCTCGCTGGACTCAGACCTGGGGGAGCAGAGAGAGAGGGCTCGCTGGTGAGCAGCCCGCCTGACACGGGCAGTTAGCTAACGTGCGGTGGCGTGAGTGGCACCGTTCTGTCCCGACTCCTCACTTCAGCGAGAAGGAGGGAGTTCACAGGTGGAGGCCACCGATTAGCTTGGTTTCCTTGGGCGGTTTTCTTCACCAATCTGGACCTCACTTCTCTAACCTGTAACATACAGGGTACCACTAGATCGCTATCTCCCAGACCAGTGGTTGGCAAACTGCGGCTCGCGAGCCACATGCAGCTCTTTGGCTCCTCGAGTGTGGCTCTTCCACAAAATACCACGTGCGGGCGTGCACGTACAGTGCGATTGAAACTTCATGGCCCATGTGCAGAAGTCGGTATTTTGTGGAAGAGCCACACTCAAGGGGCCAAAGAGCCGCATGTGGCTCGCGAGCCGCAGTTTGCCGACCACTGCCCCAGACCCTACGCTTTACCCCTCTCATTCACTGTTTCTCGAACTAGTTTTCCATCAGCCCTGTCCTGTATGATTCGTCTCACATTTAGGAAGGATGGTACGCTGTATCCCCTCTTGAAGAAGCAGATCTATGTCACTCAGTCATTCATTTAAGAGGTAGTGATTGGTTGCCTATGTGCTACACGGCACATTAACCACCTCCAATTTAGTGGCTTAAAACAATCACTTACCATCTCTCTCGGTGCTGAGATTGACCGGCTCAGCCAGGCCGTTCTCACTGGGTGTCAAGCCACTGCAGCCAGATGTTGGCAGGGCAACAGTCACAGGAGGCTCCCTCACAGGGTGGCTGCCGGGAGACCCTCAAGAGCCCAGACGTGGCAGCCACCAGCCACAGAAGGCCTGGGCCCGGTGAAGGCACAGCCTCACTCCTGCTGGATTCTGTCAGAGACAGAGCCCACCGGTGTCAGGGGTGAGGACACGGGCCCGGCAGTGTCACAGGATCTGGGGCCATCTCGAAGCTGCCACACCCTGTAGGAAAGAAACCTGCCTTTCTTGCACCTGGAATCTGTCCTAAAACTATTTGGTCCATGGAATCATTTTTCTGGTGTCCACGTATTTTTTGATACAGGTTTCTTCGAAATATTGATTCGAGAAGCCAAAATCTAGGTGATGGCTAGAAAGTGTCTTCCTCTGCAAAACCCTGCAAAACTGTGTTTAGTTCTGCGATCGCGGGTTGAATGATGGACTTGGGAACACTGCTTGGGAAGCCCCGAGGTGGGAGTTTCAACAAGGCCATGGCTTCCTCTGATTCCTTCCAAAGATGGTAGTAACCTCAGTTGTATGTTCCTTTTAGCTCCTCTCCGTGCGGGGCTTGGTACGCATTGCTTATCGTAATTATCACCACAAGTGTATCGTCACAAGGTCCACTGGAGCCCACGCCCTGTGCTTAGCAGGTGGAAGGACCTGAACTTGATGAGCCTGGGAGGGAAAACCTCCTGAACCACAGGACACTTAACAACTGCTCAGCCAAGGAGAGCATCACCATTGGATGAACAATGCATCGGCCTCCCAGTTGCCGTTAGCTTTCCCCCTGGGGCTGAGTTCTCTCTCTGTTGACACCGCTTAACCCAGCTCCGGGCCCTCACCATTCTCACTGTGAACCTGGGTGGAAAGTGTGGACGAGCAGAGGAAACCTGGGCCACCGCTTTGCCCTCTAACTCTCCATTCTCACAGTCAACCCAGCCTGGTGATCAGCATGTGTTTTGAAAGCATCCAATCAGCTGGTTTGCCTGGAGTGCAGCTCTGTTAGCCACAGAGCCTGGCAGTCAAAGGGTGAAAGGAAGATGGAAAGACCCCGTTTCCTTAGGAGGAGGAAATACTCT